TTTAGTGACATTTGTTTATCCTCCTAATTTCCCTTATGTATGTATGTGTGTATGTATGTATGTATTTATTTTGGTTTAGACATTATACATGTTGAGAGAGCAACCAATTGAATATATTTTTCCTAAACATTATACATTAAAATCTGTGATGCTTCTAGAGCATTTGGATTCTGAAAGAGCGGTTTCATATCTTAGGGTCTTTTGTTCTTTTTCACAATTTGTGTAAGTGAGATGTACTGTTCCTGGGGGAAAAACAGGGATAATGTAGACAGATATTGAGCTTTCTCTCCCCAGGTGAAAATTCAGAGCATCCAGTATTTATATGTGGTACGTTTTCCCATCACTAGGCACAGAGTGACCACAGTGGAGATTGAAGGTGTCGTGCACCTGTGCTGGTATGATTTTTCTGTCCTGCTTGCCTGAGTTTTCTCCTTTGCAATTGGTCTTGGGGACTTGTCTGTTGCTTCTGAACCTGGTGCTAGGTACTGAGTCCCCTCCTTTCTCTCCCCGACAGGTGGAACAGCACCTCTCCTTGTTTTGCCCACGTCTCTACATTTGCTCTGAAGGCAAAAGGACTAAACCTTGTTTTATGCGGAAACATTTAAAATGTTAAGTCAGAAGAGAGTCAGTAAAAAGAATACTGGACTTGGAATTAGAAAACGTATCAGATGTTCTTTAATCCTTATTAGGCTGCTTATAGCTGTGTATTCTTAGACACGATATTTAACTCTTACTCATTCCTCCCTTCATTAACCCATTGGCTCTTCCGTCCATTCATCTACTTCTTTCCAACAAGCATTTATCGAATGTTTCCTGTGTTGTAGGCACTGTGTTAGGCACAGATGTTAAGATAAAAACCACATACCCTATCTTCTAGGAGTTCATAGATCGGTTGGGAAGATAAAAAAAATTATGGTAGGAGTGACGAGTGTTATAGTAGAGATAATCATGTGTAAATGAGGAGGTAAAATAATATGATTTCTAATGTTCTTTTTACTTCTATAATTATATGGTTCTAAGTCTATAAAAATCCTAAAAGCTGTTCGCATGCCTTTCGACTTGGGGATAAATCAGGCCTAGAGATATAAAGATAAAAAGTCAACCTGTTTCCTCCACTTAACAGGCCCCTGACTTGAAAGGAAAATAGACGAGTAATTGAATGTGTGTATGTGTGTACTTGCTCTCTGAGTCCTTGCACCACAGCATTCCTCGTTATTGCAGGTGATGAATGGCCCTGGCATCCTGGCACCTTGGACTACAATTTGTTCATGGTCAGGGGAATTTGGAAGGGAGTGAATGGTAGTCCCTGTGTGCTAGATGGAGTAACGCAAGAAAGGTAGAACTTTGTCATTCTTATCTCCATATGTTAGAGAGGTGAGTGGAGTCATCAGAGAGGTGAGAGCAAGACTCCAGAAATGTGCTTGGTATTTCTTCCTGCACCCGAAGACATTTTAGAAAGAGTATAGGCAACACGTGACTTGTGGATTTACATGGCAAAAGACAGAACGGCAATAACTAATGTTTCTCAGTTGCTGCTATAGACGCCATCTAGGCCTGGTGGAGACGTTACCCTGTAAGAGTAAAACTTCTCTTGAGGCAGGTAGGATGGTTAGTGACTATTACTCCAAAGGTTTACCTCACATTCTTTGCAGCCACGCGTTAAAAAAGAAGGCAACTGAAAAGACTTCAACAGGTAGACTTTGTGCAAGTGTAATAAAGCTCGTGTGATTGACGTGTTTAAACAGGCAGTGTTTAATCAAACAGAATGCATTTGAGGAATTTCAAACAGAGTTAATATAGTTACAAAGTGCTGGAAGGGCTAGAGGCACTGAGGGAGAAGGTTATCGAGAGAGAAGTATCTATAGGGATGCCCTCCGAACCCCGTAGGCCCAGAGGCCCAAAGGCGAAAATGATGTCACGTAGAATTCACATGTGGCTGAGGCTGCTGGTGTGGCCCCCGAGTTACCTGAGTACGACTTGGAACCTTGCTTACCTGTCACTATTGCGACTGCTGAAACTGCCATTAGAATCTGGGAAAAATGGCTTCTTGTTCTCCTTAGTTTCCCGCCAGTGCTGCCTACGGGCAGAACTTAACAGGCAGTCAGGTGGCAAGGGAGTCTGGGAAGTCCAGCTTTGCAAGCTTCCTGCCCATGAGGTACCAAAGAGGGTGGAGAAAAACAAAGGAGGAGCCAAGAGACAATACACTCCAGCACACCTCCCGTTTTTTTTTTCTCTCCTTGATAATCTGGTTTATTTTCCTGAACCTTGTCCATCACTACCAAGCCAGTGAAGGGGAGGGTGAATTAAACTGAGGGAAAGAGGAGGATATAACATGGTGGCAGTCTTGACAGAAAGAGGAAAGAAAATGAGGAGGTTGGAGAAGAAGGAAGACAGAAGAGGGATATGAGGTCAGATGAGAGTGTCCTTGAGTTCGTACAACTAGGAGTTCAAAGTCTTTGGGTTGGAGTAACGTGAGAGATAGCAAAAAAATCCAATTAAAATGGTGGGATTTGTGGGTTGGGGTTAGGTTCAGCTTGCTACTTGTTTCAAGATCTATCTATCCTAGGAGAATTTCAAATTCCCTGAAGTCTCATATTTATCGTGGCATAACACTGATATGTTGCCACATGGTTGTTAAATTAGGAATAATTGAAAAGACATGAGGGTTAAATAATGCCCCTGGTTTGCCATGGTCCATGAGGGTATCAGGGGATTCTGTAAATTCTTAAATCTCCTATTACTAAGAAAATCCTTGGAATGCAAGAAGCTGGGGATCAGGGCAAGAATGCTACAGAGGCCAAGGACCTTGTTACAGAAAGTGATAAGAGAATCTGAGGTCTTTGGGAAGAGGTGCCACCATCACCCTCCCTCCTGTAAGTCCCCCAAAGTACCAGGAAGTACAAAACATAACATGTGGGACCCTAGGACAGAGTACTCAGTAACTTGATCCAGTGGGGAAACAGATCAGCAGAGGCCAACGAAGACCGGGATGCTAGTACACAGGCCAGAAGTCCTTCCCCTGTCACCATTAGGACATGAGATCATCTCCTTCTACCCAAATAGCATCTTGGGGAAAAGAGAGAGGGGTGTAAGCTCCCTTGAGAGGAGAGAATTAGCCTTGCTAGAGAATTTAAAGCAGTCTTTTTCACCAGTCACTTAAGGTTCAAACCAGGAGATGGGAATATCTTGGGTGCTACAGAGCAAGATATGATGAGTTATATGGTGGAGGAATGCATTCACACCTCATAAGCTTATTCTTTGGAATCTTGTGATATTATGAAAGGTGTCATGCTCATAATTGGTTATAATAAATGAGAACAATTTTTTTCCCACCTGATCCCTTTTTAGGAGGAATTATTTAAAATACCAGTTTGTCCTTATATAAAGTAGAACAGTCCCAGAAAATTAGTTACTTTTGAATTACTGCATTTATTGTCTCAGTTGATATAGAATAGTGTAAGCTAATTTTCGGGAGAAAGCTTTTATAATTATTCATTATTTATGTTATTATGGGAAGGTCGGTGTGGTATTTTTAAGAACCTATAGAAAACATGATCTTGTGTTCTGAGAAGCTCATAATCTAAAGTGATTCATTTATTTGTAAAGCTAGGGTTATTGTAAGAACAAAAGGATAGTCTTTATTAAACTTTATAAGCTAAAGGAGAAGAGATTGTTTCCATTCATCCCCATCTTTCCATAATGCTTTTGTAATGGGAACAAATATTAAAATGATCCATTCTTGTCAAAAGGGGGTATATTCAGATTTGGGCAATTTAATAAATAATAACAGAACTCCTAGGCTCCCTACCCTACTATGGGACCCTGACCCCAGAGGGGCCATACCAGAGTGAAGTATTCCAAAAGCCCATAAATTACATTTTTATTTTTTAAATTTATTTGTGGGAACTACAACATTAAATTGTATTAAATAATGACCTAAATAAGTAAGATAATAATTTAGAAATGAAATTGTTATATGTCTGTGCTTAGATTCCTAGAAACAATGTATACAGACTAGTTATTTGTGTCCATAAATACATGATGATCTCATAATGAGTTAGTTTATAGTTTTATGCATTAACTTCTCAGATTGCTTGAGTATCATTTTCTACTGGCTATATTATATTATTGGGTCACCATAATACTAAACTGTAGGACGTTTTAGCTGATAATTCCTGAAAAGTGCTTACTTTTGAAATAAAAAGCAAAGCAAAAAAAAAAAATCAAGCCACAATGCTGACTGAAAAAAATATTTATATTTATATTAAACCCCTCAGCTAGATTCTCAGACACATCACTGCTTAAAATGCAGTCACCTGACAAAAACAGTTCTAATTATTACCCCCTTGGGCTAACATTTTTCAGAGTGACTGGCTAAAATGCACTCCAGCTCATAATTTCTGTCTCTGACAGTGGAAGACATAACCTAGTTTCCTCTAATGCAAAAGTCTCTAATCTAGAGGGCAAGACCCTGCTCCATATAACACTGAAGGGAGAAAATGCAATTTGAGCACAAGGAAATTGCACACATAGTTTGATAGTTCTACCACTCTCAGAATTTTTTTTTCCTCCTCAGGTTTAAATGTCTTGTTTTATTTTATACTAAATTATGACCTGGCTGAAATTGCTATGTTTTCTTTGTCATATTCTAGAAACCTCTTACTATAAAAGTGAAGGTTATTCTATAGTTCCATACTTTCATTTTTTCAGGGGGTGGGAATGTTCGCATTTTGACAGTTCAGCAATGAAAACATTAAAAGTTACTGTGCTTGCTACAGCAATATTTTCTTCGTGTTGAATAATAGCTCTTTTGTCTTGGCAAATGGAGCATATATACTGCATTAGAAAAAGGTAATTAAATCGTTTTGAAAAGACGAAAGTGCAGATTTTTGATTTGGACTAATCAGTGACAATTTCACTGTTGAATCTATGAACGAACAAACTTTTATGATTGCTGGGAGAGGTGAATTAACCTCAGATTGTTCTGGTTCACTTCACAGGCGGTGGCTGAGTAATGCGTTGCCCTGAAACTGATAAGCCGGAAGACCGAAGAAGTTTCAAGGAAGTCAGTCAGAAGTCTTGCAAAGAAGGCAGCCATCAGGGTACGGTACTGGAGCTTTTCATGAGCAATTTTTATTTCTGGGAGCTGGCGAGACTTCACCCCCTCTCCTATCTCTTTCTGCTGAGAACTGCTGCTTAACACCTTCCTTCCAGCTGGGAGGGCAGCCGGATGGCTGCATATGCGGCTAACACCAGGATGGCTCCTTAGCGAGCAACCGGGGCATGAGTTTCCTCCTGGAGACTGCACATGTCACCTTCACGTCTCATGCATCTTCCATCATTTATGTGAATGTATCAAGGGGCTCTGGTAGAAGGCACTAGGCTATGAAAGTGCAGTCGAACCGGTGACTGAGAACAAAGGCCGCCTTTAGCTACGAATGATTCACTACAATGGTAAAGAATACTTTCTTTTTTCCTCCCAGAATGACTTTGAATCCTAAAGATTCACTGACTAGGCCTCCACACTCAAAAAATAAAAATGAAAGGCACAGAGAAAGGATTTTTTTTTCTCAAAACCTGATTTTGGTAAACATTTATCGAATTACTACGCACAGAGGTTTGACAATGTTATGGGTGAACTTGTAGTTTCAGGAGGAACATTTATACCCAGGAGTTCTCACACATGCTACTGTAACTTATCCCCTCACACCGCCGCCCCCCCCCCCCCCCCCCCCCCGGTTTCTCAGCTTCTGTCAGCATGTGTCACAGTCTGATCAATCTCATCACTACATATGGAAATAGGGGGTGCTGATTTGGACAAGATTATTTTAAAAGTTATGTGACTGTATCTAACAGGTACTTTAAAATATCTCATGTGGCTCATTAACTGGCTTAATCCAATGAGTTAATAAAGAGACTCCATAGTTCATCTCTCGAATTTGAAAACATTGATTTTATTTTTCAATCATGAAATTACAAACATCAAAATGTTTTTGAAAGGTACTTGTTTTCCTAATACCCTCTATCATCTGTGTCCTTGGGAGCAAATACGAATAATGAACAGGATTAGAAAGTATTTTATGCTTAACTCTATAACCCTGAGATTGGCACTAAAGCATCCTTCTCTCTCCCCTGCTCCTGGCCTGTTTAGGAAACTGACTTGGTCTCAACCAAGGTAACATTGAAAATATGGAGAGGTTTCAGCCCAGACACACAGAATGGGCATCTTTGGTGCTAATTTAAGAGAGATTTATGGACACTATTTTGAGGAAACTCAGAGTATGGACGCATTTGGCAGTTTCTTGTAGATGTTAAGATACTTGCTTAAAAAGGGTTTATTTAGTATATTTGGTAATTGTATTTTGAAATTAAGTTGTCAGTAGAGAATACATGTCAGTAGAGAATACAGTAGAGGTAAATCTTGAAGGCAAGAAAATAGTTCACAACAAAGAATTAAATACTGAATACAATATTCTGGAAAATAGATGGGTATTAAACTTACCTTTATTGATATTAGTTATAGGTCCACAGGACTATGTCACAATCTATCCTTTGTTTTGTTTTAAGCTCACAGTATTATTCCTAAGGGAATTTGAAAAATAGTGTATTGAAAAGATTGCTTCTAAGCTGTTTAGTCAGGTCTGTCTTTCATAAACTTAAGAGTTTCTAAATATTTCCAGATTTGGCTCTATGATATTATCAGAACAATTATGAAATACTTTCAGTAATACTGTGTCAACATGATCTTTGGTATTTTTTAAAATGCCTCTATTAACTGCTTCAAAACATGGAAGTACTAAAAATAATTTAAAAATTAACTCAACTAAAATTAATGGCCCATCCATCCAGTATTAGTTTTATACATTGTACTTGTTGAGGGTTTACCATGTTCTAGGCACTCTGTTAAAGCTGTATGTGTTATTCTATTTCATCCTCAAAACAATGCAATGGAAAAGATTACCACTATTAGGTCCATTTTTATAAACGAGGAAACTGAGACACAGACACATGCCTGGAACTTGTCCAAAGGTTCATCATTGCTGAGTAGAATCCTTGGTATAAAAACTTAGGTAGGCAGATGCTGTGTTCTTTGCCCTTATATTTTATTATATTGCTTTTTACTAGTTAATTTTGATTCAAAAACTATGTTAACATACAAGATAGGTCTTTTGAAAAACGTATGAGGGTAAAATTCATTAATAAGAAAAATAAAGATGGCTCTGTGAACCAATGGCCATAGTGATATCCCTGTGTCCTCCATCGCTGATCTTGACGCTTGGTAATAGCGTGGGGAATACATGGCATCTTCAAGGACAGAGCTGCACACTAGGCCCTTGGCCTGTGGGAGTGCTAAATATGAAGGCATGGTGTAATGGCTGAGCAGTTTTATGGAAAATGGGCAACTTTGTATTTTTTTCTCTTACATGTTAGTGAGATTTCTACATTATAACAAGAGAATATGGTATGTTTAATTAAAATATTGACCTACATATATCCAGGATAATATTATATAGTAAAATTACATATTAAGATAGATATTCTTTTTGAGAAATGACAATCATGCTTTTAAAAAATATTCACTTTTTGATACAAGTATAAAATAAATCCTCTGATGAAAATTACTTGGACAAAACTGAATTCAGGTTAAAAAGTGTGAATCATGAGTTTTCCAGGAAGAGTTTTATTTTGACCTAAATGCTGTCTGATAGATGAACTTCAAGCTTGATACATTTTTAACATGACAGAAGCGCGGTGGCCTCTCGGTGGGTGTCAGGGAGGAAACACTTGAGGAGGCCTTTATCTACCATTGCTCGGCCAAGGGGCCCAGCAGCCTGGGGTCTCTCGCTGGTCTATTCCTGATCCTCTCTTAGCAGAAAGGACAGAAAGCAGAAAAAGTGAAAGTTGCTTCTGAACAGATTATTTTCATTTATGGAGTTCATAAATGCAGAAAGTTAATGTAGAGGCAATTAATATTCCCGATTCTTTTTTGGTAATAACATGCAACCACTAAAATCTTGCTAAATTTTTTTGTCAAAGGTGAGAAAATGTGGGGGTTTCTATTCTATTCTATTGTTTCAAAACATGGAAGGTACTAAAAATAATTTAAAATTTAAGTCAACTAAAATTTTCAGTTTTCAGGGGGAAAAAAAGCAATTTTTATTTTGTCATTAGAGCCTGTAAAATAAAATCCCAGTAAAATTTATGTATACAAATCTATGCAAAGCAGTGAAAAGAAAATACTTGCATAAGTGTCCTATTAATGAAAGCCAGTTTCTGACAGTTGGAGAGTCATATTCTTCGATCTGTTTTGTTTACCTTTCCTATCCAATTTATATGGTCATACTTGGGAATACGTTTTATGCATGTATGCACACATACATATCACGGAAGGTAGTTTAGATTTTTAATTAGTAAAAATTTCAGAGGCCAGCAATTACCTTTTTCATTTAGCTTTTCCCTTCAATCTCGTATTATTTGTGTTTTCTGCTCACTTCTGTAGAGACCACAGTAAACATTTGGAAGGCATTTTGTATGGCAAGTTTGTGTATTGCAATTTTTGAGCAATGCAAACATCCCCCTTAAATAAACGAAAACAGATCCCAGAAAGGGTATGCTTCCAACACATTCCCCAAAGATCTGAGTGCCGCTGTGCATTCTTGCTCAATTTAAACAAACTAAACTTCAGTTAGTCTCCCCACCCCTAATGGGCACCCCCACTGGGAACATTGTTAGGTTACCACCATGGACAAGGCCTCAGTACAGCTGGATCTGTAAACAAGACCATAATCCGCATGAAAGAACTCTCAGAGTTTTGGCAGCACTCACAGTGTTGTTAACATATTGTGCCAAAGCAATAACAAAGCCATCATTTTTAAGTTTGTTCACGGATTTGTATTAATCAAGAAATTTTCCAGAAATTACTTCTAAATGAGGAAACTTCCAGAAAGTTACCATTTGGCAAGAAGGCTTCCAGATGCCTTTTTTTTTTTTTTTTTTTTTTTTTTGCTTATCTGCGACATATTCTTCCAAATAAATTACAAATTTGTGGAAATTCATTCGAGACAGAAAACACATTGCTGCTGTGTTGGCGGAAGGAGGCTCCCTTCAGTTCACTCCCTGCTTCATCAAAGCCTGGCTAGTGCTTAGGTCATTTTTTCTTATTAGGAGGAGGAGGCCAGGCCATCTAACTTGGCATTCTGGTGATAAACATTAAGTATTGATATTTGGATCAGAAAAGCAATTATTAGATTACCGTCAGAACTGCACACTAAGCATTTAGGAAGAGACCAGGAGAAGGCTGTTGGACCTTTGTTGGAATTTAGTTGTTGGTTTTTATTGGCATATTAGGCGATTAATTTTCGCAAATTCAATCTTTTTCAATTTAGGCCCTATTTTCAAAACTTGTGCATAAGCAAGCCTTCTGCAAACCCTTGTGTTTACTCTATAGGAAAAAAGGGAAAAAGAGGAGGCTGTAACAGTGCAATTAGACATGAGTAGTGGGACAAACCTAAAATTTTTGATTTTCAACATTGCCTTATTCCTTAAATACTTTGATACTGGTTTTTCATGTACATCTCATGTGATTAAAAAAGTCCTGGGTAAAATAAACTTCTAAAGTGTGCTAAAAATTCAAAATGCAGAGGGGTGCGTGATGCAGCCTGAACAGAGGGTACATATGTGGCTCCAGGGACGGTTACTGCTTACAAGCTCGAGACTGTGTTTTGGGAGGTGAGGACCCATAAGTGAGTCTATCACCAATGGTTTGTGTAGAGTTTTGGTTGATTTCATCATTTATTCATGTCCGTGATACCTTCTGGATGACATTTATTTTTGTTACAACAAAAGAAACTCTTTAAAGTAACGACTAATAGTAAATAAGCCCTTTCTCCTGCTGAAGACCTCTCCCAACCTCCAAGCTACTCTGGACTTGAATACATCTTTCCTGTTTCCTCCTATGGTGCATTGTTTAAAGCACCAATATATCATGTTTATATTCTTCCTTGTTTTAGAGTTACTTGTGTTCATTTCTTCTTTTCCCTTTGAAAATGTAATGTTCCTGGATGTCTCTCTAAATATCTAATATGGTGCTTTGTACATAGCAGACTTTGCATGAATGCTTATGTAACTGATTTCAGGAGGTTTGTTGTTTCTTTAAAAAAAAAATCCTTCTCTGAACACATAGCACTTG